TCCATAGTTAACAAACACCATAATTATAAGAGAGAGCCTAGAAAGACAACAACAAAAACACACACAAAGTATCACATGTCGATGAAATACATATGTATGAACACACAGTTAATGTTTACCCTCATTAAAACATTTCTAACTGTGAGATCTGGTTTATTTTATTTTTGAAGCAAGATTATGTACAAGGTTTCCAGCGTTGCCAACCAGGAAGCAGCGTTTCAAAGATCATGGGTGGCGGTGAACCAAAGTAAGCTCCTTCACATAGCGTTTTCGCACTGAACATATGTTGTTCTTTTCCACCCTCTGCCACAACTTTAATGTTTCCTCAAACTAGATCAACTGCAAAGTGTTTCGGAAAATCCAGTAATTAAAACCTTGATTATCTTCCAAGTAAAACAGACCCCCTTGAACCATCCATCTGCTATATATTTCCATACACTGTCAAACCGCCATTAGAAAAATCTCATTCCCCTTGGAAGAGCTGCTTTTGAGCAAGGTCTTATGCTCACCCTCGGAACGTGTCCAGGGAACGCAGCCGCTGCCGAGAGGCTGTGCTCCACAAACGTGGGGTGGGATCACTGCTAATGGAGTCTGTTGTGTTCGGGGACCCGAGCTCCTTTGGGAACAAACCAGACACACAAAGGGCAAGTCAGCAGCTGCATCAGCTGCCCAAGGAAGAGAGGTCAGCAAACTGCAAACTTTCACATACTGTGTTTGTCTTTGTTCTCCCCATCTTCCTCTTCCTTTTGTTTCCCCACTTGTTACTTCTAGCCCCTTCATGGCTCCACCATATTGCAATAATATTTGCAGATGGTCCACACTCCACCTTTGACCAGGGTGGAAACAACAATGCAGTGAAAAGAGCCTGTGTTTGAGACTCATGAGAGTTGGGTCCAGTCCAAATCAGCCACAGACTTGCCATCACTGTGAGTGCTGCTTTACAACAAAGCTGAGCAGATGCAGTTGCTGACTCTCAAACAGGATCCATCCCATCCCATTGGCACTTGTCTGACACCACAGAGAGACTGTTTAGTGAGCTAAACCAGCAGAAAATGAATCCTTTTCAATGCAGGAGTAGCTTCTTTCCAATTGAGTTCCCTAAATCACTCTGATCAGCCCCAATGACAGCATAAAGAAGCAGACATCACTGTAACACAGCTATGGAGATGAACAACTGCAAGAATTGCTGCAGGGCTCTGCTCCCAAGTCTTTTGATTCTAGGCAGGTTTGGACGCCCTAGATGTGAAGCCCAGACTGTGATGATCTATCTATATTCTACTACAAAACATGGCTCACACAGAAATGCCAGCTCTAGGGCTGCCAGAGAAATCTTGACTTCAGTGTAGATCCTGCTAAAATTCCTACTGTGCTGGAAGCAGACATGAAAGCTGGCATTTCTTCCCTTCCCTTACATTGTCTACATCAGAAGGGGACAGTATTTTCACCGACACATTTGCTTCAATGGAACTAAAGAGGGCACAAAGCTGTATGTTCAAGACTTGCAAGAGCTCTACTGGGAATCCACTAAACTTTTGTGGAAACCCAGTATAGCACTTTCCATTGACATAAAATTGCCTGTCTTACATCAATACAAGATTTGCCAAGGGGAACATGCACAAAGGGAAGATGATTAGTAATAAACAAGTCCCCAGATGTCCAGATAGTGTGTGTTCCTCAGAGATGAAAACACTACAGAATGCAAATTAAAGATACGGTGGTCACTCACAGAATTAATCAGACGATCAGTTTCTCTGGGGTTCAGTTTCTTGTAAACCCAGTTTCTGACTGGATCAATTCTGAAAATTAGTAACAGTTTAAAACACAAAACCAAACAAGAAGTACTTTATGACAATTTCATCTTAATATCAACTATTTAGCAGCATAAATCAAAAGTTGGGACAGTCCCTATTTCTGTTTTCCCAGCTCACACATGTAATACTGAGATTCAGCCAGTACCTGGGACCTCAGTGAAGTCCAGCTATGTAATTGCACTGCCACAAGCTCAGGTTCAGGGGCTTTATTCTCAAGTTGTTTATAGGCACGGATGATTCACGTCATTCAGTACCCGGGATGGAAGGCTGCATATGCTACACACGCTTAGGTCCCACTGACTTGTATTGCCAATTCAGGGCTAGACCCAGGAACAAGTCATGGGAGGGTAAGGCAGGGTGTGTGCGAGCTTACAGTGGACGTCACCTGCTCTGCAGTAACCGCTCTACACACAAGCTAACAAGGCTGCAAGATGTCCCTCAAGGGAAATCGTATCACTCTGTATTTATTACCATATGGACAGCTACCACAGCTTAACTTGTACGTGGCAACCTGATAACAGGATGTGATCTGCAAGCAGGGCCACAGTGGGACTCTGAAGCACTACCACACTATGACGCATGTTTTTAAACTGGTGGCCCCACTTCACGTGTGAGGAGATACTACAATACTGTTCACTTACTTCATAACAAGGCGCCCGACAATCAGGATAGCAAGGGTCCCCATGTAAACCAGGAAAGCAAAGAGAATAGCTACATGAAAGAGGAAGAACACAACTCTGTAAATGATCTAACAAAACCGTTCAGCAGCCTGGGCTTGGCCAAGTGTGACACAAACATGACAAAAAGCCCAACCCACCAATCATCACACCACCTTCTCCATGCAATACATATCCCCAGCCTGAGCCCCAGAGAAAAAAAAAAAAACCAGAACACAACCCCAAAACAACCCAAAACAAAAGCAAGCTAATTTCAAAGTGCAGCTCAGTGACTGCACATCTCGGCATAAAAAAGGCAAAATAAAACTGCACTGCATCACAAGGCAATGGTGAGAAAAGAGTCGATGTGCTATACGTTCTGAAGAAGAAACTAGAGATTTGGAAACAGTCTCAACATGAAGAAGACAGGGGAAAGGTAATACACCAAGTTTGCAAGCATGGAGAATTTTTCTTTACAGCTGGAAAACTGGAAGGACTGAGGAATAACCTAATGTAAAGGAAAAGAATGGAAGAGATGTAGACGAGAGTTTGAAACAGCCCTGGAAAAGAGATGAACAAAAAAGCAAGAGCTGAGGTTTAAAATTAAAAGTGCAACAACAAACAAAAAGTCCAAACACTACATGAATTGTTTCCCATTTTGTGAGAGAAGCCAGATAGAGGGAAGAAGAGGGACGATTCTGTGTACATACGTAAAACATGCAGGGAAACAGGAACCAACTACAAAAATAGCTCCCTCCAGACACATACCCACTGATTTTTCTGGGCTAATCCCTGCTGCAAATAGGTTGTGGTCATACAGTATATCATGTGAAGAGGCCTGATCTTGGTCAGGGTCTCAAGACGGGTGTATAAAATATAAGGAGGTAAGATGCTGAGGGAGAAGAGGAGCAAGCCCATGACACATCTTCAGCACAGCATGAGTGGCTGCACAGGCTTTTTAGGAAGTTGGTTCTGCTGGGAGACATGCAAGTTGTAGAATGAAAGGGGAAAACAGAGCATTACATACGGAGGCAGCTGTTGATAGGGCCTTCATTGATGACTAGGTCACAAGAAACAGTTTTGGTGCTTGTACTTAGGACCTTTACCACAAGGGAATAATTGCCAAACTCTCCAAAATGATACTGAATCCTGCAAAGGATAAAGGAAACGAAACTTGCTGAGCCATCACCGCTACATGCAGGTACCACAGCAGCATTTGGGGGGCTGTAAGCCTGAATGCTTGTAGAAAAGGCAAGCTGAAAACTTGGCCTAACAGCGTGATCTAGCAAGGAGCTTCCTGGCTCTGCCTTTGCCAAGCATTACCCTCCCCTAGCTCAACATAGATGCTTTACCATACATGCACTGCCTACTACATCACCTGTCTTCTTGAACTACAGCGCCTCTGCAAGACAGATGCCAGCACTTGTATGGTATGCTGGCTCAACGCATACCATTTCAGGTCCTGCTTGCACCTAAATCCTTTCAGCACAATTACAATGTACGCCACAGTTACAGCAGCGGGGGGAAGACTGAACTCTAGGTCTAAACAATCAGGAAAAAGGAGGTAATAAATAGGCACACAGCTTTAAGAAAAAAACCCCAAATATAGGATAGAGCTATCCAGGTGTTCTCTGGGGCTGGGCCACATACTTGCAGAGCTCTCTGTCACCCACAGAGCCATTGAGCAAAAGGGTGAGTGGATGCTGGGTATCAACCATTACCGCCGCCGTGCCTGGTTTTCTCAGGCTCCCGTTGCTCGGTGGGACGAACACCAGGAACTCGTACAAGCACTGTGGAAGAAGAGAGGGAAGGGAGCTCATTAGTGCCAAAGGAGAAAGGGGGTCCTGCTTCGCATAGCGTCAAAGAAAAAGACAAGGGAAGATGCCCAGGGGCTGGGAGCAGCTCCCGCTGCAGGGCTTCCCGGCGTGCCACTCGAAGGTAAAACCAAAGCGAAGCAATCTTAACAAAGCCATGGGGAGACGCTGGAAAAGCCAAGCTGCCCCGCCGAGGGCGGGGGCAGAGCTGTCAATAGCGGAGGCCCGGGGGTGACACACACACGGCACAACCCCTCCACGG